TTAATTTTGAGAGAGAGGAGACACAGAAAGAGAGAGGGGGAGGGAGGGGCAGAGGGAGGGAGAGACAGAATTCCAAGCAGGCTCTGTGCTGTCAGCGCAGAGTCTGACAGAGGGCTTGAACTCACAAACTGTGAGATCATGACCTGAGCTGAGGTCAAGAGTTGGAGGCTTAACCAACTGAACCAACCAGGTGTTCCTGGCTGGACAATTTTTAACCTCTCTGGGCCTCAGTTTTCCCACCTGCGAAATGGGAATAGCGTCTTCCATGTGGTATCACGTGAGGACATGGATGGGGGATTGGCATACTGCCTGGCACATGATAGCTGTTTGGTGTGGTAGGGGCTGCTGCTGTTTGTCCCGGGACTGGGGCCTCCAGACAAACCTCTTCCTACTCAATTTGTCTCCTTTTTGACCCCTTAGCTTCTACTGTCCTAGAATCCCAGAATCTCCCGTTGGAGATGAAGGGTTAGCTAATCTGGACTCCCACCCACAGCGGCTACTCTCTGTTGAGTCTGGGCTCCCCTCTCCCCCTGCCCCCATGGCTCTTGGGACGGTACCCCCCATCTCTGTGCTTCCTCGGGATGCTCAGTGGATGAGAGTTTGCTCTGGCTGTGGGGTCGGTTGGCTTAGGGCCCACCGCTGCCGTTTCCAGCTGTGTGATGTCGTGCAGCTCACCTCAGTTCTCCCAGCCTCGATCTCCTCCTCTCTAAAATGGGGGTGGTCATAGTCCATGGCTCCTTAGAATGGGGGATTTGGTGAGAGTTGTGTGTTCGTTTGTGTAGTGTCCCCCTGGAGGCTCGGAGGACACGGTGTAAAGGACAGTGAGAGGAGCTGCAGGCCTTAACTTTCATCCCGTGTTCTTTGCCTCTTCCTGTTGCTGGAGAAACCATGATGCTGGCCTCTCTCCACTCCCAGCCCTGCCATGGCTCGTGAAGGGGACCTGTGAGCCTGAGAGGAAAAGGGAAGGCGAGCCGGGCCCCCTTCTACGGAAGAGTAGAGATGGTTCTCAGACACGGCCTGTTTGGGAGAGATGGGCAAGGGTGTGAGCAGGCAGTCGGGGAAGAAGAGGGAGCTCAGTGGCTGATAAACTTATGAGTGATGGGGGAAATGCAAGCTAAAGCAGCAGGAGTCTGCTGGAAAGACTGGCCGCCACCCAGGGCCCTCCTCCTGCCCGTGGCCATGCAAATCCGTGCAGGCATTTTGTAGGTCATCTCAGCTGCCACAGATCACAGACCTTCTGGCCCAGGCATGCCGCCTCTCTCCACCCTAGAGAGAGACACTTTGTACACGTCTGGCCCAGCACAGTACATTGCTACAGTGTTTGCATTTATGCAACCTGGGAACAGCTTCCTTGCCCAGAGGCTGTGCAAGGGGAGAGGTTAAAAATGCAGTGGCCTGTTGGAGAAAGAAGGCCGATTAGTGGCTGCAGGGGGCTAGGGGAGGAGGGAAAGGAGAGTGTTTTAACAGGTCTTTCGGTTGGGATGATGGAAATGTTCTGGAACTGGAGAGTTGTGGTGGTTGCACAATATTTGGATATACTATATATGCCACTGGATTTTACACTTAACCAAATGTAAAATGGCATGGTTTATGTTAGTGATATGTTACCACAATTTAAAAAATTAATAATGGAAAGTGCCAAAAAACATTGAATTGTGCATTTTATATATTTATTTATTTAAAAATGTTTATTTATTTACTTTTGCGAGAAAAGAGAGAGAGCTCAAGCAGGAGAGGGACAGAGGGAGAGGGAAACACAGAATCTGAAGCAGGCCCCAGGCTTTGAGCAATCGGCACAGAGCCTGATGCGGGGCTCGAACCCACAAATCACGAGATCGTGACCTGAGTTGGAAGCTTAACCGATTGAGCCCCTAAATTGTGCCCCTAAATTGTGCTTTTTAAATTTTTTTTTTCAACGTTTTTTATTTATTTTTGGGACAGAGAGAGACAGAGCATGAACGGGGGAGGGGCAGAGAGAGAGGGAGACACAGAATCGGAAACAGGCTCCAGGCTCCGAGCCATCAGCCCAGAGCCCGACGCGGGGCTCGAACTCACGGACCGCGAGATCGTGACCTGGCTGAAGTCGGACGCTTAACCGACTGCGCCACCCAGGCGCCCCTAAATTGTGCTTTTTAAATGGGTATGGTATCTGAATTTTCAGCTCAATAAAGCTGTTGGTTTTT